GCTGAAGAGGGCAGGTTTGGAATCCTACAGACCCAGGTTCAAATTCCACGGTGGGCACTTGCTGATGCTTAGACACACAGTTTGGTCAGGTCCCTTAATGTCTCTGGGCTTCAATTTTCTTGTCTGTAAAATGTGAGCAGTGACACAGTATTTTGGGGTGGCTGCGAGAATTACATGAGATGATTCACGTAAAGTCCCCTTCCTGGCACAATGGAAGTGTTCAAATGTTAGTCACAAACAATTGCCAACAACAAGAACAATTCAACCCCACTCATTTCTCATCTATTTTACCTGCTCTTCCCATAATTTGCAATTATTTCTTTCTTCACTAATCTCTGAGCTTCCTTAGTCTCAATATACCATTTAGCAAACAGGAAGACCATGCCTGTGTAGATCTGTGCAATTGCAAAACTTACATTGCTCTGTATTCTAGCTGCCAAGCACTGTAATAACCACTGGTTTCTTAATTTTTCTTTCCCTGATATATTTTTTAGCACCTGTGTAAACCTATGCAGCTGTGCTCAGCTCTGTATAAATGTTTGCTTATGTGCTTCTGTTATATTTATTTATGTGATTCTGTGTACAGCCAGTTTCTCTATTAAATTATAAATTCCCCAGGGCCAAGGACCACATTTTCTACTCTTGCAACAGGTCTGGGTGTCCTTCCAAGAAGAGATCTCAGGAAGGCTGAAACTAAAACATATAGTACTGCTTTAATGAGATGTTAGTGGCAAGTTTCCAAACATTGTGTTTTTATCTAAGGCAGTATTTCTTAAAGAAATGTCAGCATTAGCCAGCATTCTATAGAAATGTTCAAACTGGGGGCCTTCAGTTGGTGACTTTTGACTTGAAAAATTAAAAGAACAAGTCTACAATTTGAGAAATAAGTCATCATTGACAAATGGAAAAAAAGAGTTTAGTACTTGTTACTTTCCATATTTCCACTGATCAGTGAAGCGATTGACACATTGGATTATGAAAATGTCAAGGCATGCATAATGGTCACCATAATAATGAGCTACCTTTAAAATTTTTTTAAAAATATTTATTTATTTTTTAGAGAGAGAGGGAGACAGAGATAGAGCATGAGCAGGGCAGGGGCAGAGACAAATGGAGACACAGAATCTGAAGCAGGCTCCAGGTTCTGAGCTGTCAACACAGAGCCTGACGTGAGGCTTGAACTCACTGTGAGATCATGACCTGAGCTGAAGTCAGGTGCTTACCTGACTAAGCCACCCAGGAACCCCAATAATAGCTGCCTTTTAGAGTACTTAGTAGGTGTTGGTGCCTTACTAGGAGCTTGTCTGGCTGTCTCTTCTAGTCTTCCCAGCATTCCCACGGGTAGACATCATCTTCCTCCCTATTTCACGTCTAGGGAAACTAAGCTTAAGAAAGGTGAACCCATCATCCAGAATGCGGTGAAAAGGTGACGGAGTCAGGCCACGTTGACCACTAAGCTATACTGCCTCCTTCACGTGACAGGGGGTTTTACAGTTGAGCTATAAAGATAATTCCAACCTTCCTCTTTTTCTTCTTCCATACCGCCCCTTCCTGCCCCTCCCCACCCAACAAAGGGAAAGAAAATTCTATTAGTATATTCGTGATTACTTAGCGTAAATAAATAAGGACAACTGCAGGAGTTTTGGACGGTTTGCAAGAAGAACTGAAGAAAGAAAACGAAAACTCTCTCCCTGGTTGTATGCCTTCGTATGCTCCTGCTCTCCAGCGGGGTTGGCTCTCCATTCACTGCCTGCTGCTGGAGTCCATAAGAGACTCCACATTGCTGTCAGAATGAAGCCATTAGAGAAAATGCCTCACTGCCTTTCAAGAGGACAGACAGGAAACATCTTTCGCTTTCTTTCTCTTACTCTTATCCTCTCCCTTTTCCTTCCTCAGCTCTGTTCTTTTGAAATAAGTAATGGCTAACTTCACCCAGGCGTTGGGTAACGTGAGACCTCCCAGGGCACAGGCTGAGAACTCTAGCTCTAAACACACACACACACACACACACACACACACACACACACACACTGCAGGCAGCCGCTTGGGGCCCTGCTTTCTGGCAGCCTCACCGCTCTCATCAGCTCCTGCTAGATCACAGGACCCAGTGGTTACAGAGCCGGCCTCTGCGCCTGCACGTAAAGCATGCTTTAATAATAAAAACATTGAGTTGGGCTCGTCCAACTTCAAACATTCGGTGAGTCTCTCAGCCTTGGGTCCTAGGGGATCCAAGAACCTCTCAGCGGAGTCAGGACTACGCTGTGGCTGGTTTGTGGAAGCATCCTTTCATTTGTGGTATTTTACAGCAAGGGTACCAAGAGAGTTTCCAAGTCACAGCAGCATCCTATACCTACATAACAGTGGAGGGCGGAGGGGGAAGGAGGGGAGCATCGGGCTCCTCAAATGCCTGGATTCCACACGCCTTCTTCATAGTTCTCTGCTCTGTTTCTTAGAGGGTCTCCCAAATTATACAATTTGCAGGCCGCTTAAAACCTAGATCTGCCCCCAGCTGGGCGACTTTTTGAGCAGCGGTTCAATCCATATCATGTTTGACTAAGAAATTTAAACCCTTGAAGGTCAAATATGGAGAGGCTGGTGCAAATAACATGAACAACTAACATTTCTTGAGTCTTTACGTGTATTAGGCACTCTTTTAAATATTTTTCTTATATTAAGTTCTTCAATCCTTGCAAAAAGCCTAAGCAGTAAGGTCTATTATTCGCCCATTTTTTTTTTTTTTAGGATGGGGATATTAAGTTACTCACCCCAGAGTTCCAGCTGGTTAGTAACAAAGATCGTACTTGAGCCTGGGAAGTTCGCATCCAGAGCCTGTGCTGTCAGTCACTGTCTATTTCTCATTCCTCATCGTAAAGGCTCTTCTGCAGAACATACTTACATTGTAGTAAGTATAGAGCATAATATAGTGTAGACATATTGTAAGTACAGAATATAGAATAGAATTCTATCTGTATTCAAAGTTTGACTTAAATCAGTGCCTTGATCTTAATTTTAAAAATTAAAAAAAAATTTTTGGGGGCTCCTGGATGCTCACTCGATTGAGTGTCCCAGGGCTGAGAGGTCGCGGTCTCACGGTTCATGAGTTTGAGCCCCATGTCAGGTTGGGTTCTGTGCTGACAGGTCAAAGCCTGCTTGGGATTCTCCATCTCCCTCTCTCTCCGTCCCTCCCCTGCTCATGTAATCTCTCTAAAAAGGAAATAAACATTAACAAAAATTTAAAAAATTCTTTTTATTTTACTTGTAAATAATTGTATCTTTGCTCACATCAAAAGAAATTCCAGGTCGTATTACAAAAGGAAGCAGTTAACTTCTGTGACTCACACTATCATTACTTTTCAAAAAGAGCCATTCGATAAATAAACAGTTCCTATTTCAGTTCAGTGTTGTTTATGTTTTCAATACATTCTTCTATAAAATCTAGCATAAATATATGTTGAACTTGTTTGTTTAGAGGAGCCCCAAACATTTACTTTTACATGAAGAATGAAATGGAGAATTTTCTTTTGAAGCTTAGATGTTTCTCACAGTATTATGTAGTTAACTGGAGTTTCATGCATACTCAAGGTCACTAGATATCTGAAACTCTCAGGAAACACATTGTATTATTGTTCTTGAACCACTTGAGCATTATAGATCGACTGAGTTAAAAAACCATATACTGGATAAAAAGCACAAAGTTGTGTTATTATGGTCTACTTCATGTAATGCCAGAATTTTTAACTTTGCTTTCAATGTTTAAACAGCTCTCTCAAACATCATTTCAGATAATGATTATTTAAATGATCTGTGTGTAACACGTGAAGGCTCACAATATTCTCTGCCCTCACCGAACCCATACTACGAATTTCCACTCTTCATATTTTGCAATAATTCCTCACGAAGCCTTTGGGCTAGAAAGGTAACTGAAATGGCAGGAGACCCAACTTGCCCAGTCAGACCTATCTGAGACCTCTCACCTCCAACCCCTGGGCCTGTCAGTCTCTCCAATTCTAAATAAGGAGAGAAAGAGAGAAAACAATGCCTCTCACAGACTCTAACTTCTCCTTAAGAGACTACACTGTTTCTGGTTTTTTTCACTTTCACATTCTTGGAAAGAGAGTTGACATGTGTTACCTCAATGTCCTCACCTCTTTCAGTCCTTGGAAGCCTCCTCATCTCTATGACGGGAGCACTGATGTGCTTGGTCATTTTCTGAACTTTCTCCACTTTTTACTTTTTAGACACTACATGCTTTTGCTTCTCTTCTTAGCTCTTGGCCCATTTCCCCCTTCTTTGTCCCCTTTTACTGATTGTTCCTCCCCTGCCCGAATCTTAAGTGGTATCTAAATTTCCAGCTGTATTTTTTGCGCCTTTCTTTAGCTTTACAGATCTCCTGGAGTGATTTTACCCAATCTCTTGGCAGGGAGTCTATCAATTTTTTCTACAAGTTCTGCCTCTTGGTCGATCCTCTTATCTGACAACCAGACACAAACATGTAATTGACCTTGAACTGCTCCAGCTGAAAGAACGAAGCACCTTAAACTCAACATGTACAAAAATCAGACAATCATCTTCTCTGTAAAACCCAACCTTTGCTTTGTGTTCTATATGGATGTGGGTTAATGTTATCACTGTTGATGGATCCACTTGTCTTAAAATGTCAGAGTTCTTCACCTCCTCCTCTAGCTCACTCCAGTAGCCAAGCATCCACCAAAATCTTGTCAATTCTATCTTGAAATGCCTCTCAAATTCATTTACCCTCGTCTATTCCACTTGTTATTCTTTTAAATATGTCACATAATAATAATATTAATCTCAGTCTAGGTAATTCTTTTTTTAAAATTTTTAAATGTTTATTCATTTTTGAGTGAGAGAAAGAGAGAGAGAGAGAGCACACAAGCAAGGGAGGGGTGGAGAGAGAGAGAGAGAGGGAGACACAGAATGTGAAGCAGGCTCCAGGCTCTGAGCTTTCAGCACAGAGCCTGGTGCGGGGCTTGAACTCGCAAACAGTGAGATCATGAAGTCAGTTGCTTAACCGACTGAGCTACCCTGGCACCCCTGTCAGTCTAGATAATTCTATCTGCCCAGGAGTATTTCTGATTTCGGTATCTCCCTCCTTCCCTTCACCTCCATTGCATTCTCTTTAGGGCTCCAGGATGGTCTTTCCAAATATGCATCTCATCAGGAGATGCCTCTGTTTACAAACCTATAGTTCCTTAAGGATCCATAGCGTTAGGTGAAAAAAAAATCATACAGCAGAACATGAGGAATAATCCCAATATTAGTAAAAATAACACAAAGGCACATAAATGCACACACACTATATCAAAATGTTGGTAGTGCTTCTCTGTTATTGCTGAGTCATGGTACCGGGATGAGTTGTTTTTTCTTTTTCTTTTTTTTTTTGCTTGCTCTTATTTTCTGTACTGACCATATGTGACTTAAGTCATGAGGCAAGAATATTATTGAAAAATAAACTGATGGGGTAAAAAAGGAGCTGACTTAAGTAACTTTGGAAAATAACGTTTTTACTAGATATTATAAGGCTAAAAACAAAAGGACTATACATAAACACTGTACTCTGGCTGGTAAATTCATTTCTCACAGGATTATGGGTTAGCAATTCTGAAACTCCACAAACACACAAGGGCTGAGTGGACATGTAAATAAACTATAGACAACGGGATCCAGGTTTCCCACTGTCAGGGATAGAAGTGACACATAAGCAAGTGGAGAAGGCAGGAATAAGCCCTGTGGTGCAGGCCTGGGATTGGAAACATCGGTTCAAACTCACATTTAATTTACTATTTAGACAGATCGATAGATAAAGAAATAATTACAGGCATGTGTGTATACATGTATAGATCTCCCTGCTCTGTCCTTAGGACCTGAAGCAGTAAAACTGTCATATAACAGCAAGCATACCCAGCACCTAGAGTTTGGATTCCAGATGTCATTTTCCAACAAAAAGAGCCAAGTCTCCTTGGAGAAATGTCTGATTTCAGTCCTGGGTCAGGGAAAATCCAAGGTGAGCCTGGGGCACTTGTGGTGCCACAATGAAAGGAAATGCATTTGTTAAAAAAGAGATGAAGCATGTCCAAAGGACATAGGAGCCAACTTGAAAGAGCTTGAAATGGCCAGAGGTGAAACAATTTGAGAAATAAAAAACATTAGAATTGCATATGACCTGAAAAACAAAACAAAACAAAACTTGGCTCCATCCTAATATAAATAACTGATTGAGTAAATAAATAAGGGAGAAGAGGCAGATCTTTCTTAAAGAAGGATTCCAGATAATATATGTAGATGCTGCTTCCGTCTCGGGGGCTGGAGCGTAATCCACCTCTCCTTCCGTGCAGGCTGGACTTAGCAACTCTCTTCTAATGAATTGTCATGACTTGCCAGCTTCTTGTGAAACGGGAACACTCTAAAGTTATTTCAGGAACATGACAGTTTATTAGAAAAGGGGAAAAGTTGTCCCTGCTTCATGGAGAACCCTGACAGACAGCCCCTTAACCACGTGAGTAGGCTTGACACATCACTAGTGATAAGCAATTTTGACATCATGTCCCCTGATATGATGTGATGAATGGGGAATGTCACCTCTGAAGAATTCTTCCCCAAATCGTGAGAAAATATCAGGCAAGCCAAAATTGAGGGAGGGTACGTTCTGCAAAATGCCTGACCAGTGCTCCTTGAAAGTGTCAAAGTCATAAAAAACAAGGAAGACTAAGAAACTTTCACAGATTAGAGGAGACCAGGGGACACAATAATTAAATATGGTGTGGCACCCTGGATTGGGCCTTGGGGCAGAAAAAGGACATGAGTGGAAAAAAGCGCGTGAAATTGGAACGAAGTCTGTAGTTTAATGAATCAATGTTCATTTCCTAGTTTGGACAAATGTTCCATGGATATGGAAACTGTTAAGATTAGGGGAACTTGGGTGAGAGGTATATGGGAACTCTATACTAACTTAATAACTTTTGTATAAATCAAATATTAATCCAAAATAAAACCTAAAAAAAAAAAAAAAGGGAAAAGAAAAAACATGGCTTCCCACTGCTTATGCAGGGCTTGTCTTAAAAAAATCTCCTTGGAAGTTTTTGAAACTTACATGCCTGGGCTCCACCTGGGGGATTCTGATTCAATAGGACTGTCCTTGAACCAGGAAAGCTCCATAATTGTAAAGTGGCACAGGAGATTCTCATACATTCCAGGGGTTGCAAAACCACTTGTCTGCAGGACAGAGCGGCCAATGACATGGCCCCTACAAAGACTTTAAAATTTTTTGTAGTAAACAATTGCTCAGAGGCTATAGCCAGAATTGCTTTTTACAATTAAAATTAAGAATATACTGGGACACCTGGGTGCTTCACTTGGTTGAGCACCCGACTCTGGATTTCGGCTCAGGTCAGGATCTCATAGTTGGTGACATCAAGCCCCGTGTTGGGCTCTGTGATGACAGAATGGATCCTGCTTGGGATTCTCTCTCTCCCTTTCTCTCTGCCCTTCCCTGCTTGCACGCACACGCTTCCCCCATCTCTCTCTCAAAAATGAATAAACATTAAAAAAGCTAAAAAAAGAATATACTAATTAATAAGATATACACGATTGTGAGTATAAGGAATACAATTAGTAAACTGAGTAACTTTTCACTCAGAGAAGTCCATGAAATCTGTGTATTTTATTTTTAAATACAGTGTATTATAAATTTGCCACTTGACAACCATAGGCCCAAAAGCCTATTAAATATTTACAGACCTAGGGGGTGCCTGGGTGGCTCAGTTGGTTAAGCATCTGACTTCAGCTTAGGTCATGATCTCATGGTTCATAGGTTCAAGCCCCACATCAGGCCTCCAGCTGGTAATGTGGGGTCTGCTTGGGATTCTCTTTGCCCCTTCCCCATGCTCTCTTTCTCTCAAAATAAATAAATAAGCTTAAAAAATATTTATGGACCCAGGAATTATTTTCACATCTTCATTTTGCATTCCATTTACTTTGAAGTGAAAATTCACACATGATAGATTTCCAGCAGGATTTTCATATGGCTGTCCTATACTTACAAGCTTTTTGTGAAACTGAAACACTTTAAAGTTATTTCAGTAGGGGCGCCTGGGTGGCTCAGTCGATTAAGCCTCTGACTTCGGCTCAGGTCATGATCTTGCAGTTTGTGAGTTCGAGCCCCGTGTTGGGCTCTGTGCTGACAGCTCAGAGCCTGGAGCCTGCTTTGGATTCTGTGTCTCCCTCTCTCTCCGTCTCTCCCCACTTGCACTCTGTCAGTCTCTCTCTCTCTCAAGAATAAATAAACATTAAAAAATTTTAAAAAATAAAGTTATTTCAATAAACAGAAACAATCGTAACCAAACAACAACAAGAACGACAAAACCAAACTGACTTGGTAAGATGTAGGGGAAAGTTAAAAACAAAATACTCGTTAAAAAAAAAAAAAAAAAGGTTTGAAACAAGATTAAATCCAGAAAGGCCATGTAAATTCAATTTCAAGTGTATGTACATGCCTTTGTGAGAGTGTGTGTGCATGAAGCCTCTCACTGAAGTCCATGAATACCCAGAGATTCATGAAGAAGTGTTGGGGGTTCCTTGGACTCTTTGAAATTGAAGGAAAATATATGTACATACATTTTCCTGGGGATTCTCAATGAGGAAATGAGGAGAGAGAGCCAAAAATAATGAAGAGACACTGACCATGTGGGTATTCTTTTGAGAAATAATAGCATACTTTTATATTAACTAAATTACCCTTTTAAATCAAATAGTGAAAAAAATAGATGCACTGTGATCTTATCTCATAACAAGAGCTATTGTTAATGTAGATATTTCTTTTTCCCAACAGAGAGTTGAGAAAAGTCTTAGAATGCAATGAACATTCCCCAAAAGGATGATCAAAATGGCAGCCTCAGTCTAAGGATAGGTCGTTCATTCGTCAAATGTTGGCAAAGGTTTACTATGTGCCAGGCACGGTTGTAGGAATACGCCCGATGCAGGGCTTAATCTCATGAACTGTGAGATCATGACCTGGGCCAAAATTAAGAGTCAGACTTAATTAAGAGTCAGACTTAATTAAGAGTCAGGGAAAATAGACATCAAAGAATAAACAAAATAAGAAGTCACATAGTATGTTAGAGAGTGATATAAATGTGATGGGAAAAAAAATTGAGCAGGGTGAGGGGAGTTGAAACTGGTAACTGGGGGTGGGACACAATTGTCCATTAAATAGGGTGATGGTGGTGGAGGGGGGCGGTGCCTGGGTGGCTCAGTCAGTAAGGTTCAGACTTCAGCTCAGGTCCTGACCATTCTCATGGTTTGTGAGTTCGAGCCCACATAGGGCTGGCTACCATCAGCACGGAGCCGGCTTCAGATACTCTGTCTCTGTCTCTGTCTCTCTCTCTCTCTCTCTCTCTGCCCCTCCCTTGCTTGTACTTTCTCTCTCTCAAAAAGAAAAAAAAAAGAAAAAATAGAAAAAATAGGGTGACAGGGAAGCTCTCATCAAAGAGGTGAGATCTGAGCAAAGATTCGAAGGAAGTGAGGGAATTAGCCAAGTGGATCCTGAAAAAGAACTTTCAAAGTAGAGAAAATAGAGCAAAGGCCATGTTTGGGGAGCCACAAGGAGGCTTCTGGCACAAATAACATGAACAGCCAGACACGAGGGGAAGGACAGGGAAAGGGGCAGTGGGGGCTTTGCAGCCACGTAAGGACATAGTTTCTCTCTGTGGGAGATGGGAGCCACTACAGGGTTTTCTCTCCCTTTTGCTTTGTTTTGTTTTCACAGGTTTATAAGTATAAACCTTAACATGTATACCTTCATCAGAAGTTGATAGATCAAGTCAACACAGAATATGGAAGGCTAGAGGGTATTTGCAAAGCCGAATTAATGTATTACCAGTTCTAAAAGCATTTGCTTTTTAAACACTCAGGAAACAGTTATAAACAATGTTCATGCATTAGATCACAAATTAAATCTTAATACATTCAAGAAAGAAGAAACCCATACATAACGTATTATCTCACAACAGTGCAAAAAAAAAAAAAAAGCAGGCATTAACAAGAAGACTGTTTTTCAAAATGTATATATGCATTTACAAATTTAAAAGCACCCTTTCAAAAAACTCTAACAAGTATATCAACCCCAATTACAAACTAGGGAAGAATTAATGACAAGAAAAACACTGTATATTGAAACATGTGTGACATAGTCCATATGCTATCTAGAAATAGTAAACAGAACTCAAATCCTCTTGCAACCTCTTATATTGAGGTTCTGGCATTGACTGGGAAGGTAGAGGAAAATCCCTGACAAATCAGGGATGGGAGCACGCAGGTGGATCTGATCTAACCAAAGAAATTGGGGCTCTAAATTTTTTTAAATGTTTTTATTTATTTTTGAGACACAGAGCGACAGAGCATGAGCAGGGGAGCGGCAGAGAGAGAGGGAGACACAGAATCTGAAGCAGGCTCCAGGCTCTGAGCTGTCAGCACAGAGCCCGATGAGGGGCTTGAACTCATGGAGTGTGAGATCATGACCCGAGCTGAAGTCGGACGCTTAACCGACTGAGCCACCCAGGCGCCCCAAGAAATTGGGGCTCTAAATTTGCTTACTTTGCCAGTAAAAGGAGCTTTTCCTCTCTAATTGAGAAAGCTAGTCTCCCTTAGGCTGAAGAACCAGCCCTGTGGCTTCCCCTGAAGCAACTCTCTTGCAGGAAAATGCTAAGAACCACACTGCTATAAGCAGAGGAATAGCAGAGCTTATGTTTCAGACTAATTACTCTGGCCGTTGTGTGGCAAAGGACTCTAATTGGCAATAATGGATGCCAGGAGACTGTTTAGGAAGCCATTATTGTGATTCAGATGAGCGAGAACAGGGACTGGGCTATTCTGGAAGCAGTGCAGGTAGAGAGAAGTGATCAGAGTCTTGACATATTCTGAGGGTAAAGCCAGCATGATCTTCTGGCTGGTTGTACGGGGGATGTCAGGGCAAGTAGAGTCAAGGATGACTCCAAGATTTTTGGCCTGAACGAATAGAAGCATGGAGTTTCTACCTCCAAATAGGGAGGAAGCTGTAGGTGGAGAAGGTTTGGGGAGAAGGTCAGGCAGGACTTCAGTTTGGGATCTGTTACATTTGAGAGGTCAGACATCCTAGTGAAGATACGCAGGAGGCAGTTGACTGTTGGAGTCTAGAATTTGGAAGAGTGGTCTGCTTTGGGGATCTACATTTGGGAACCATCAGCGTACAAGTGGTAAGGTAGTCACAGGACATGGGGAGGTCCTAAGGGAGTAGGGACAGATGAAGAAGGAAAGAGGCCAAGGACTGAGCTTGGGACTCTTCAACACTAAGTCTTCAGGGAGAAGTGGCAGAAGTAACCAAGGAGACTAGGAAGGAGTGACCAGTGGTGCACTGGGAGTGTACCATCTTGGAAACCAGGATAAAGAAACTGTGTTAAGGAGTGAGTGACCTACCTTGTCACATGCTGGGCTGACAGGCAAGTGGGGTGATCAGTGAGAACTGGCCATTGGGTCTAATAACATGGAAATGGCTGATACCTTTGTCAAGAACCGTCTCAGTGGCGGAGTGAGGGCAAAAACCCAATTGAGTGGATTCAAAACAGAATGGAGGAAAGAAACGAGAAAGCCAACCAAGCACTTTGCTGCCGGGGGAGTGAAGAGAAGAGCGTTGATAGGGAAAGTGGGGTCAAAACAGGTGTTTTTTTTTTTTTTCTTCTTCAGATGGGACAAATCATGGCAGAGTTTGAATCCTGAAAGACATGATCCAACAGGCAGCGAAAAATTAAGGGTGTAGGAAATTGCAGAATTGGTGGGCTGACACCTAACTTTGGTTAGGCAAGAGGGATGGGATCTAGCAGACAGGGGCTGACACTTAGAATGGAAATGTCATCCACGGAAGAGTTGGGAGTGCAGCGAAAGTGGGTAGATATTTTGGTAGAAGCCCGTGGAAATTTTCTTCTAATTGCTTCTTTTTTTTTTTTTTTTTTCCTCGGTCAAGTGAGAATTAAGGTCAGGAGATGAGAGCAAGGATAGTCCAAAAGTTCTATGAAGATATAAACATGTCAAAGAGACCCATTACTTTTGAGCTCCTTCTATTAGGCCGTGTTGATTTTCCAGAGTCTCACTTGAATGGAATGAACAGAGGCAAGAATTCGGTTTGGTACGTGCTCTAATAATGTGTACAAAGAACAGTTGCCACGGACAGCCCATGTCTCCATGTGTGATGTAGAACTCAAAGTGATATCCTTCCAGAACTTGATATACATGGATGAAAATTCCAAGGCTTCGCTCCCTTAGAACATGTTCTAAAAGGAAGGTAACCCATGGCAACTGCTCAACCTGCTCTCAGATGACTCACCAGAGAACTTACGAGTGGAAATCCCATGGAAACAGTGCAGACAGATTCACCTTGACCCCGGAGGTCTGGTTCCATCCAAGGTTAAAGTGTCTTTCCTCTTTCTACCCTGAAGCAAGTATTCATGTTTAGCCCCATTGTCTCTTCCCATTTGGCTGTCAGTTCCATTTAGGTAGGCAAAGCCGCTTAATTCTCACTGCCTTTAAAATCTGAGGGTTCTTTCCGCCGGCTTCTGTCTCCTGAGATGACTCACAGTGGTACACCCGTGTGCACACCTTAGCCGGACAAGCTGCCTTTTCGCAGGGGGCTTCCTGAGATGGCCTAGCACTTCTAAACAGAGAAACACATTAGGAGATTGACCTCAGTCATTTAGTCATTCATGTGTCTAATGTTGGGATTTAAGAGTCCCCTCACTTATAAAGGCATTTCGAGAAAAGAGGGGAATGTTAAGAAATTGTTTTAAAAAGAAGAAGAAGAAAGAAAATGGTAACTCTGCAACTTTTATTTCTGTCTTGGATAGTTAAACCTACAGAGAAGATTAATTTATCTTGTTAGTAATATGTGTGTACGTGTGTGTGCGTGTGTGTGCATGCACCTGTGTTTGACAATCTGGGCAGACCATGACCTTTACTCACCCTCGTATAATGCGCAATTCAACGTTACCTTAGGTTGGGTCTCAACTTTTGGAGCCAGTCTAACTGGTATGAATCAACACGTCCTTCGCCATTCAGGGTTAAGTCTCTTCACCCCCTCCCGACTGACTGGGAACCTATTGTTGAAGGTCAGGCTTCTGCTCTAACCCTAACCCTAACCCCCTCCCGACTGACTGGGAACCTATTGTTGAAGGTCAGGCTTCTGCTCTCCCCACTTCCCCCCAGGCTGGCTGATTCTCCCTCCAGGGTGGAGGAAATACAGGAGACCTGCTGTGTTAGACACTGGCTCCCAACAGCTGATTATTAGAGATCAGGAAAATTGTGAGTAAGCTGTTAAACTGTTGGTAGCTTGAATTCGGTCATGGTGAGAGTCTCTACACCACAGAAATTGGCAAATGCTATAAATCAGGCCTTTCCCTCTCTGGGTAGCTGTTTTGCTAACACCCCACTGGGTTAGGGAATGGGGAGTTCTCCCTGGCTCTCAGGGACTTTGAGCTCTCTAGACCTGTCAGATTGTTCACCTCTCCTCTCACGATCTGTGAGTTCCTCAGAGACTCCCATCATCGTCGGATACCTCTACGGTGACCTTGTACTTTGGCAGACCACTGCCGACCATCAATCAGCTTCTGGTTTTAGATGCTCACCCCACAGACTCCTGTTGTTGGGGGTCCCTTTGCACCCTGGGCGGGATCCTTGCTGATATTATATTAGTTTTCTATTGCTGCATTAAAAATCACCAGAAACTTGGTGGCTTAAAACAACACACCTTCATTATCTCAGACTCCTGGGTCAGGGGTCTGGGTCCTCTGCTCAGGGTCGCATAAGTTTCCAGATAAGGTGTCAGGTGGGCTGACCTGAAGCTTGGGGTCCTCTTCCAAGCTCATGCGATTGTTGGCAGAATTCAGAATTCAGAATTCGGTGGTTGTTAAGACTGAGGTCCCTGTTTCCTGGCTGGCCGTCAACCAGGGTCTTCTTTTAGCTCCCAGAGACTACTTGAGTTTTTTGTTTTATGTCCCTCTCAAAGGACCTTTGACAGCATGGCAGTTTATTTATTTATTTTTTTTAGCAGTTTAATGGGTACATTTTAGAGTCTTCCATTTTGTGTAGAATTAGATCCTCCCCTTCAAATGCTGTAGTTAGGGGCTCCTGGGTGGTTCACTTGGTTAAGCATCCGACTTCAGCTCAGGCCATGATCTCGCAGCTCATGGGTTCAAGCCCCGTGTCGGGCTCTGTGCTGACAGTTCAAAGCCTGCAGCCTGCTTCAGATTCTGTGTCTCCCTCTCTCTCTCTGTCCCTCCCCCACTTGTGTTCTATCTCTCCTTCAAAAATACATAAACATTAAAAAACTAAAAAAAAAAAAAAACCCAAGTGCTGTAATTATCATCGCTTCAAGTAAAACTTGAATAAAATATTGAAACCTCAAGGAAAAAAACCCAACAAAAACATAAGTTAACTCTCTCTATCCAGTTTGCAAAGAGAGTCTTACATGATGTAATGAATGTAATGATGGGGGCGGGACTATCCCATCATCTTTCCTTAATCCCGGGAGTGACGTTCCAAGCTTTGCCACACAAAGTCGCATCATCAGGAGAATTGCCATCTAATCCCTTTTGCCATATTCTGTCAGCGAGAAGCAAATCACAGGTTCTGCCCACATTCAATGGGAGGTGGGTGTATAGATTGTGACTCACTGGAGGTCACTTCAGGTAGTGTCTGCCTTACCGCTCGCTATATGTTCTACATCTGAGCTGAGTTCTACAGACTTCTGACCCACTGTCAGAAGGGAGCGCAATTTCCTCTCAACCCAGACTCAGCTTTCTCTTTATCTTGCCACCAAAGCAGGCTGCTGGCCTCTCCTTCCCATTTCTCCTGTGTTCCACTGGAGGGAAGATGGGTGTACCCCTCTAATGGTCACTTTGAAGCCCATTGTCTTTGGACTTGAAATATTTTAAAGCCAGACACAGATATCAGAACAATGTCCATTGCTTGGATTATGTACGATTCCATTTTCTCCTAAGTATCAGTTTTCCTGAAGCCGGCAAGCACCTATTTGAAAACAAAATGCTTGAGGGAATGATACTACATTAATGTCACCCTGGAGTTTGATGTTTCAGTGGACCAAGGGGGAACATACATTTTGCTGTGTTACTTCATTCTTTTTTTTATTTCTGAAATAAACTGGGCAGACTGCATGCTGCTTCCAAACTATTGGAAGCTCTTCATCCTGTCTCAGTGGCATTAGCTGAAAACTGATGTCTTATATGGGGCATTAGTGCGAACACAATGCCATCTTTCAAGTAGAGGCAGGTGCTTTATTTCATGGCTCTATACTCCCAGGTTAGCTCTAAAGGAAGAAATTAGTCTCTCTCTCTCTCACTCTCTCTTCCCCACATTTCCTCCCTCCCCTCCCTTCCTCTCACCTCTATTTCTCCTTTCTTGCTGTCTTCTCACTTCTATTTCCTGCATTGTTATTTTGATCTTTTCTAATAAGATAATGGATTGCTTGGTTCTTTGTATTAAATAAGACCGAGAGACTTGTAAAAGAAACTTAGTTAAATTTCCATTATTCCACGTCATAAGAAAGCTCTTCTAGGTGCAGTAACTTCTACAGTTTCTGCTTCATGTTTCAAATGTTATGAATCTGCAGCTTATCCCTGCCCATAACGTTGTGTCTGGATGGCTCCACCCCTCTGTGGAGTCTTTTCTTGGTGGCCTTGTGTCCTTTCACCAGGTGTCATGGATTATTTAAGTCCTGTGGGCAGGCATTTAAACACTCAGGGTGCCTTCAGACATTTATTTTTTTTCTTTAATTCGACCATGTGCTGATCACCTCTTATCAAGGGGAAGAAGATACACGTATAAATGGGGGATGCATCATCGAACGATGGTGACATAATTAATAATGACACTTGAACAGTAATTCTTGAACATGTCCCTGGAATGCCTTCCCCACAAAATTGAATATTGGGAGAATGGCATGTTAATTCCCCTTCAAAAAGCCACGAATGAAGACTACAATCTTAGGGGCTAGAATTAACTTTATCTTGTCTGCCTCCCTTCCTCTCTTGCTCCCTTCTTCTCTTCTTTCCTTCTCCCTTCCTCTCTTCCTTCTTTTTTTTTAAATTTTTTTTAACGTTTATTTATTTTTGAGACAGAGAGAGACAGAGCATGAATGGGGGAGGGACAGAGAGAGAGGGAGACACAGAATCGGAAGCAGGATCCAGGCTCTGAGCCATCAGCCCAGAGCCCGACGCGGGGCTGGAACTCACGGACCGTGAGATCGTGACCTGAGCTGAAGTCGGACACTTAACCGACTGAGCCACCCAGGCGCCCCCTCTCTTCCTTCTTTGAAAAAATCTGGACTGGGATCTCAGCTGACAGCTCAATTAAGTGAAGTGAGCAAAGATTTCCCAGCTGTTGCCAACTCAAAGGGAGTTATGTCCATAAAGAAAAAGCAGTCTTTCTAACCAGAAAGCACCAAAGATCTTGATCGTAGGCAGCACGGATCAGTGCAATCACAGGCATGGACAAGGAGTCAAGAATTTCTCTACATTGAATCTCTCTGTACAGAATATCTCTACATTGTGCCTTTAGAAAACAACGGAAAGAAAATATCTGGCTCGCAGAGAACTTGTACTGAGTAATGAACTATAACAGTGCTCAGCACAGAGCAGGTGCTCAGTAAATACTTGTTTGCTGAAGTAACGTTTGATTTGAATGGACTCTAAAATGCTTTCATCTGACTAAGTGCCGTCTTACATCAGCTTTCTCAGAGTAGTGTTTCCATACAGGCAAACCTTCTAATCCCCAGTAAAAGAAAAGATTACATAAATATTCAGTAACTTCAAGTTTTAAGTAAATGCCCAGTGTCCTACCTCTAAACATGTCTGCAGATGATCTTGGTTTGCTCCCTGGAGAAGAACCAAATACTTTAGATAAGGGGGGAATATTGTCTCTGCTTGTATGGGCGTGGCCTAACTTAAAAATAAATGTTTAGTTAAGATGATCTCCAGCTTGACCTTTCTGAAGGCACGGGAAGCTGGCTTGATCATAGCTGTCCATGGCTATAGATTGGAATGTCTCAGTGTAGGTGGAACAGTGTTCTCAAGGGAAGCCCTTCCTCATTTACTAGCTGGGTATGTTAATACCCTTTGGTATTTACCTCAGTCTTCAACAAGTCAAAATCTGTGGGGTAATATATACAGTCAATAATTCTTAAACCAACATAATACACTGAGATGCTTGTAACTGATGAGTGAGTTAGGCTCAGCCTTCAGCACTATGATTAATCATATAAATTTGTAAAAGGTGCATAATCGTAGCTACTGAGAGAGACTGCTAACTGTGCTTACAGAATGTGCCTATTCCCTCCTATTTTCCTGGAGTCTTCTAGCTCAAAAGCTTTTGGGTTATGGATAGGTAAGTTGCATTTATCAAGAACCAGTGGAAGAAGTATGATGTTGGTATTTAAATCTCATCTCTCATTTAATATTGGGGAAACATCTGCCCTTCTCTGAGAATTAATTTCTTTATCTTATAACAGTGCAACATCAGGGGCTGAGTGAGATTTTTCATGTTGTCCCAGAACCATCAAAGACTCAAAGCTGGGAATATGTACCCCAAATTCTAAGCCCCAGGAACCACAGCTACTGAGATCTGCTATCTCTTTGCAGGGCTTGAGAAGGATTATCCAGCAGACCTGGGGTTACTACTCCATTGTCTTTCACCTCCTCCTGATATTTAAAAACAACAACAACAACAACAACTGAGAAGAGGAGTCTTTTGAAGGAACAAAGTGTTCACTTTCTGTCTTCATCTCCTCCATTGAAGGAAAGAGAGGGAGGTCCAAGAGAATCGTTCATAAACTTGGGAGTGGCTAAGGAAAGGCAGACTGACTCTTTATTCCATGGTTGAATATCTGCTTATATAGCAGAGCTGATGAACTACCTCTGAGCTGTCAGGTGTGTAGGTAGGGCGTTTATAGAGGTGATGTATGTGCACTTGCATGTTGGGGAGGGGAATGTCAGGTGGAGATGTCATAAGATTTCTCATCACTCCCCCAGTTGACACGCACCCCTTTCCAAGATATACTGAGATGGTTCCACATGTACTTGTTGCAAGCCTGGGAACTGACCAAGAAAGTTAGACTGAGTTTGGGGATAACTGTCTCTAGAGGAATCCCACAGTGAAGGACAAAAGCATGTGACATGACAATGCTAGCTGGGGTCAGCCAAAGATGTGGACAAAATTAATTAGGAACTTCCAGTGCCCAGAGTTGTGGGTTGGAGGGGCATACTGGAGAGCATGAAGCACATTGGAACCACAGGTAAGCAGGGAGGTATGCAGCCTTACTCTGCCCTGCTCCACCTCTAGAGGAGATAGTTCTGGAAAGAGGAGAAAGAGGGAAACTGATAAAGACTGTGCCCCTGGCTGGGGGAAGGGAGAAGAACATGATGAATTAGATGTAACATTAAGACTTAACCAAATAAACCCATGGACTAGGGCTAAGATGTGTGTGTGTGTGTGTGTGTGTGTGTGTGTGTGTGTGTGTGTGGCGGGGGTGGAGGGGTCGGTCTAGCACAGATGGGGACAGTTATTGGAAGAAAATAAAATGGTTTCATATTTATAGTCTAATGAGTTTAGACTTTTCAATACCCCCATTTGCCTTCTTGTCCACGGTTCATCCTGCCAATCTCAAAATATAGTCTCTCTCACAGTCCAGTACTGTTTGTAACATATTTAATATGTGATTCCACCTCCCCCTCACATCTCAGTTACATAGATCCTTGAGATTTGTGTCAAATCCTACCTCTTTCCAGAAGTCTTCCTTAATAACCCCAGGTCCATTTTCCACCCTACCTCTTCTCCATTGCCCTCTGTCATTTTGGCATTTTCTTTTGGATCCACCCTTGCGTTTTTCATTCTTTTCATTCCAGTGGACCACACACTACTTCGGGACCTCATGTAAACTCACCTTCAAAGTATTGCCACATGTTGCCAAGGACAACTGGTTGAGCCATTGCCGCATTTGGCGAGCCATGCGGTCTAAAACTTGACAACAGCAGCCCATGGGAGTATGTGTTTCTAAATTGCACAAGGACTCTGTCAGCTCACCAGGTGTGTGCCTGTGAGGTGATGAATGCTCAATGCTCAGCAGGAGCATCTTTTCCTAAGTTGTATAAAGGTGACCCCGCACTTTTTAACTGTCCCTTGCCCCCACCCTGGTCTCTCTTAATTTCAAATTCTTTTGTACATGGCTGACAAATCAATTTCTTTTTTTTTACCTGAAGGAAATTTCTTTTTGTACATAAAAAAAAGACACCCTTAAGGGCACCAGCAACATCACATATATTGGGTGTTTCTGTAGAGGGGCTGAGCAGAGACTCAGCCTGGACATACAGTGAAATAAAATCTTCCTAGCACCGTGATTCTCGAACTTTAATGTGTACACAAATCGCTATCAGATCTCATTAAAAGGCAGATTCTGTTTTGGAAGATCTGGGTGGAGTGTGAAATTCGGCATTTCTAACAAGTGCTTACGTGGTGCTAATGATGCTAGTCTGAGGACCACACTTTAGCAAGCAAATTTCATTGAATTCTCACAAAGATCCCTATGAGGTAGGTTTTATTCTTTTTTTAAAATTTTTTTTAAAGTTTGTTTATGTATTTATTTATGTATGCATTTATTTCTTTAGAGAACAAGCAGGAGAGGGGCAGAGTGAGAGAGAGAGAGAGACAGAATCTGAAGCAGGCTCCAGGCTCTGAGCTGTCAGCACAGAGTGCAACAACGTAGGGCTGGAGCTCACAGACAGCGAGATCATGACCTGCGAGATCATGACGTTGGACACTCAACTGACTGAGCCACACAGGTGTACTGAGGTAGGTTTTATTCTTAATCCTACTTTATGAATGACAAAACTGATAGTTGAACTGATTAAACAATTTGTTCAAGTTTGCATAGCTTATACATAAAGGAATAAGGACTCAAATTCAGTTCTGATTCAAGCAATAGCTCTCTCTTTTTTGTTTATTTATTCTGAGAGACAGAGAGAGAGAGGGAATGAGAGGGGCAGAGAGAGAATCCCAAGGAGGCTCTGCTGTCAGCACGGAGCCTGACACGGGGCTCAAACCCACAAACCGTGAGATCATGACCCCAGCCAAAGTCGGATGCTCAGCTGGCCGAGCCACCCAGGCACCCCAAGCAACCTCTTTTAAATCACCATGGTGTATTCCCTGTAGAAGGGTCAGGACAGAAGAGGATTAACTTCAGGAAGGAATTCTGTTCAGAAAGTAAGACAGGCAAACTTGGTAGTGGATTGGCCTTGAACTTCTCAGTTGAGTTGGTCAGGGACTCCTGCGCTACAAGAAATGGAGTATGGGGCAGCAGGAACAAGAGGTTTGGGAGTTTGAAGGGTTGAGGGCAGCTGCAATGGGCCATGTGCTGGGGAATCAGCAGGAGGGAAGTTGAGTGGATTGAATTTGCCAAAGTACCAAATCAGTTGTTGCTAAACTCCATATTAGAATCACCTACGCATGGTTTTTTTAAAGCTTTCAAAGCTGAGGGCATACCCCAGACCAGTTAAACCACAGTCTCTGGGGCTGGGACACAAACATCAATATTTTCTGAAGCTACCCAGGTAATTGCAAAGTACAGAATTTTGGAGAACCACTGCTATTGACTATTTGCTTCTAATATGAAAGGGGCACAGTCTTTAATTATTCATAAAGAGCCCAAGGAACACTGAAGAATGGTTTTGGGTTTTGGCATGGTTCAGGGTTTGGCAAACTTTTTCCGTATGGAGCCAGATAGTAAACAAAATGTTTTAGGCTTTGTAGGCCAAGAGGCAAATTTGAGGATATTATGTAAGCGCTTATGTAACAAGAGAGAAAACAGATTTCCACAAATTTTCTGATGAAATTCAAAATTTTACGGATGCTAAACTTGGAATTTCATATAATTTCTATGTGTGATGAACCATTATAGTTCTTTTGATTTTTCTAACCATTAAAAATTTAAAAAATTATTCTTAGCTTGAGGGCTGTACAGAAACAGGCAGCAGGCTGGATTTGGCCCCTGAGTTGAAGGGTTGAAATTTGCTGACTCATGGTATAGTTAACGATGTACCTTGATGAACCCAAGGAAGTCCTCAGACATGTGTATTTAAACAAAAACATCAGTATTGAAATGAGTGCTGTACCTGACTAGCAGTAAAACTAGCCTTTGGAAAATCATTATCCTTTCTGAGGACAGTGTGCAAATCAAATGACAACATTTTGAGACAAAGTCTACTTTATCCATATTTTTCATCATCATAAATTAAAAATAACTGGTTGAAAATATGGCTACACTATAGTCTACTGCATACAATAATATGCTTTGTAAATGATTCCAATACTTTATTTCTAAAATATCTTATGAAAAATGTAAATAGGATTTCAATTTGACTTAAAAACAGCTTGTGTTTAATCTAATGTCCACTCTTTCCAGGCCCTGATTTGCTAAAGAGCCCTGGTTGCAGAGTATAGCCCTCTTGGGTTTCTATTCTGTGTGTTTGGATGTAGGGATTATAGGTCAAAATTGCCATTTTATGGAAATGCTGTCTGTGTCATTAGGTAGATAGTCTGAAATGCATTAGAGGGTTATAAAAATCACTTTTTTTTTTTTTTTACCCCTAAGTGAATTTCAAGGATTACTTAACTCCTCCAAAGTCACACATCTGGTAATGATCAGGGAGAAACTTGAACCCACATCATCTGACTCAGACTGCAGATTTTTATGCTTAGTCCATTGCACCACTCACACTTCACAATATTCTGCAAAAGGAAAAGCTGAGCCCTGCAGACACCATGTGTTAGAAGGTGTTGTGCATCTGGTCTGTTCGCTCCAGGCACCAGAATTTTTCACTGGTGTCAGGGGTACTAACTGGCTTAAATAGAGCACGCGCGCTCCCTCTCTCTCTTTAATGGCCCGATGCATCCATTTCTTTATTCTTATTATTTATTTATTTTTATAATCTGATATCTCTTTTTCATAATGGCTGTTTCTATTAATTCTGAATAGTAAAACAAAAATATGATGAAGTAAAAGAATAATTATATTTATACTTCAGAATGTGCTATGTCCATTTCCCCAGTTAAATGTAAATACGTATAGACAAATTTAAAAGCAATATAAAAACACACAGATATAGATATGACTATAGTGTGCTTATGATGTTCATTAATCAAACCCTACTTGTGTCTCCTTACATGTTTTCTGTGCTATTCGTGGGCTATTTCCCATGAGTCACTATCAGTTGTCCTTCAAGGGCAGCAACGTGGTTAAAAATGGTCCTTTTGTTGCCACACCAAGGTCTTGTAGTTTAACAGTGTCATTTCCACTTAAATAGAAGTTATGTGTAAATTGGCTAGGCTACTTATTTCATACTCCCTTGTTTTTCTTAAAGTTTTTTTTATCTTGAAAACTACTAGCCTGAGGAGCTAAGTCACGATACAAAAAAATGATTTTAAGTGAAAAGATATTACACTTACATAAAAAGAACACTTGGAATGTGCTTAAATTTGGTTAAGTACCTATATTGGTTAAGTACCTCTTAGGACATATACTCATATTACTGAGTATGACATAATTATTAAGAGTTATGTATACAAATGAATTTATAATGGACTATGAAATGTTTTGTTAAAATGTGGATTATTTAAGCAAGATGAAAATGATAAATTCTACACATAATACAGTCATCAATCTGACTGTATATATTAACATGGAAACAAACTTATACACAAAAGAGACTGAAAAAAAAATAAACTAAAATGTTAACTAAGGATATATCTGAGGGCTAAGCTTACTGTTTTTTATCTTCTATTTTTACTTATTTCCCATGTGGAGCATGTATCACTATTCTAGAAATCTTTACATTCATTTTAAAAGAAATCCTATTGACTGATTCATTATCATAATTACCAAATATTTTATTATTCTGGGTTGTAACTGCTGTTACTCTATTATCTCGAGGCATTTTATAACTAGACCGCCCTGAATTATTGCATTAATAACTTCAGATAGTTTCTCATTAGCAAAAAAAAATACAGTTAAAAATTTTAAAGAAAGGAATCTTAGGACCTGAAGTTCTAAAAATTATGCTTGTAATACATTTAGTTTAGTTTAGTTCATTTATTTAGTTGGGTTTTTTCCCCCATATGTATGAAAATGTTCAATGCTGGTAGAAGTTACCAGAAAATAAAAAAAACTCCTTCCCTTGAGTTTGTCTGCCTTGAGAATTTGCCAGGCGTTGAAGGGAGCCCTCTGCTGTTAGCTATATTTATTACAGTAAACTTTGATTTATATTGTTTTATGTCCTTCCTTGAACCTACTCAGGTTTTTAATGTTTCTGTTATGATTGTACATTTCACATAACAAAGAAAACATAAATTCCACGATGCCAGCTGGCACAGTTAATAATCCGTCAATTCTGCCCTTTTTGAACTATACCACAGCATCGGAACATCTGGCAGTTTCCAATTTCCATGTTAGAGTGGGGTTTTGACCTCTATTTCACTTTCAAATGGGTCTCTCCGGCAGAATAACTCTGCTTTCTCCATTAACTTCACCGCTCACACCCTTGACAGTGCATGTGAGGCTTTACACCTAGTGCTTTAGAAGGTGCTGTGCACTTGTCAGAGGAAGCTACCGTTCTGCTCTGCTCCCTTAATCGCCTTTGTTCATTGCTCCTATCCATTAACTACCAGCGCTCCTCGAATCTCCCTCTTTGGGCCTTTGGTTTTTAAAAATATCTTCCTCTGTTGCGTCTGAAGGCTCATCCACTTCCACAAGCCTAGTTATCAGTCTGAACTAATTGCTTCAGCTCTGTCCTCTCCAGGGCCCTGGAAGAGAAGCAGGCAACAAGGGGCCTTTGGGTGCCTGGTGCATGAGCACAGTGGTGTGTGTGTGTGTGTGTGTGTGTGTGTGTACACATAAAATACGGATAAAAAAGATAGAAAAATATCTCTCCTTGCCTGTCTCCCTTCACTGGCATCAGGTAATCTCCACTCTCTGGGACTGAACTCTTGGGAACACGTTTCTTCAGCACCTGTGATTCTGAGTTTGCCCCTCTGCTTTTCTTTTTTTCTAGCCTCTTGCACTGTTTCCTTCTATCTGCTCTGCATGTTCTTATCACACGAGTCTTCCTAAGAAACGCGTCTTTAACCATTTCCCTCTCCTTTGAACATACCTTCCGTGCTTCTCTGTTGCTGAAAGGTTCAGTTTCAAATGTTTCACCCTGATATTCTAGGCCCTTTAAATTTTGACTTTACCTCTCCGGCCGAATATCTTGCTCCTAACAAGGCTATTCCAGCAGGCCGGCTTCCTGCCTCCCGCAATCTCCATCCAGGTCTTCCGTTCTTACGCTAGTGTGGTCTCTTTTCAGTCCTGTCGAAAATGCTTTCTTTCAATGTACTTGTCCAAATCCAACTCCCATTTGAAACACTCATATTTCCATCAACTTTTTCTCGAATAATCAGGCAACATGGATGTAATCTTTTCTCAGCTACCTGTTCAGCATTTATTATGAGTGCCATGCATTAGAGTATTTTGTGGCATTTCATCTGATGCTAGTGTGTATTCTCTTGGGTGCTCTTAATTGTTCCTTTTATATCTTGTCTTACTCACACGACTATATCTGTGCATATGAGGATAAGAATATAGTCTGGTATTTCACAGAGCGGTACCATGCTGGGCTTTATCAATTGCTTAAACTCTGGGCAATTCATTTCCTTCTTCTGTAAAATGGAAATAATGATGCTTCTCCACCTATCCCTTTTTGACACTTGAAGCTAAAATGAAATAAAGTGGGCAAAGGCTTCAAAGCTTTCAAACTCAAGTATTACCACAATTATCATGATGCATAACCTCTCTTTTTCCCCCTGAAATGCCACCTATTATAGGGTCATGGAATTTCCTTCTGAGGATGGAGTTAACCACCAAAAAGGGTCACAGCCATCATGAGGAACAGACACCGTCTCTCTGAAGGCGCATCAGATCTGCCAGAGTAAAAGACCAAGGTCAGTATCTTCAACTCAGGTCTTCATTTTTCTCATCCATAGATGTTGATAGTGTCTATTCACATTCACATCAAGGCTCTTGTAATATTAGTCTGCATTTACTGTTTATACTCCAGCAATCTTGGGTCAAAACTCACAAGTATACAGAAATTTCTTTCTAAAAGTGACCAAGGACGTCCTAATTATTTAATGGAATAGCTGCTCTTCATCCTTACCTCCTAGGCCTTTCTGTCACATTAGATGCCATTAAGTATAGTTGTAAAATAAGGTTCGAAGAAACGGAGATGTTCCAATACAAGAGATCATGAAGGAGAAGGCAGATTTGACTGCATTAGAGTGGAAGACATGTCTACATCAATAATTTAAAAAAACAAATGAAAAGGCAAACAAAAAACTTGGAAAATCTTTGCTTTGTCTTTGACAACCCTATTAATATCCTCAGATTAAAACCTTAAATAACATGGGAAAAGATAAACACTGTAATAGGAAAATGGGCAAATGTTACAAACATACAAATCACAGAAGAGAAAATATAAATATCACATGTATAATGCTCAACTTCACTAATAACGTCAATGGCTAGTTTTAGGTCCCATTTTTTTTCCTCTTTGAAATGTTGCAAAGTATATTAAACTTCTTTTGAACAGGTTCTGTAAAAAATTCTGATTAACCTGCCCAGTCCTTCATGTTGGACCCAGAATGGTAGACCTCGTCTGGCATTGTACTTGCCTGAGAGAATCAGCTGGGCACAAGTTTTCCTTTTTTCCCAGAATGTAATGGGGCATGTGCGTCCTAACACCAATCTTGAAAATAGCATTATTTCAAAGGCATGTCTATATCAACTTATGCCTTTAATAAAGTGTATCTGCCATCTCTCCTCCAATAAAGAATAAAATCTGAGAATGACTGATAAAATCGTGCCCGGTCTTGTTGAGAGAATGAGTGATGGGTTGTTTAAGAAGGCAAAAAACAAAAAAGGAAATTTCATTTCCATCTAAACACTGCTTTGTGTCTACACTGTAGGTTTGTATCCTTGGTTCAAGGTTACAGATCTTCCCAATGATACATTAGCTGTCAAATATAAAGTCTTAGGCCATGTTGCAAGAGCATTCTTATTGCCTTGAACATTCTTTTTTTCCCCCTACTATATTAAAAAATGCCCTTTGGGACATGGGTCTGGAAAAGTATTCCTTTTTTTAGAGCTACTAATTTCAAATGGAACTGACATTGCAACGATCCTACAAATATTCTCTTCTGTTCTCATAAATTAGGCACCATTATCGAGTGTAATGTGCCAGACATTTTATATACACAATTCATTTAATATTATGATAATGCTAGATAGAATAGGGTGTTTTTGTTTTTTTTTTTTGTTTTTGCCTTTAAAAAAATTATCTATCTATCTATCTATCTATCTATCTATCTATCTATTTACATTTCACAGAAGAAATGTAAATTCAATGTAGAATCCATGTCTCAGATAAAATAAATCACTTAAAGTTTAAGCTACGGAGACGCCTCCTCTCAGGTGAGCTCAAGTTTGTCTGGCTCCAGAGTCCACATTTTTCTACTTAACCTCATTTTTTGCTGTTTCTTTTCAATTCTGAACTTTCATACTATGTTTAGCTTAAAATTAACACAAAGCTTATCATGTATCCTCAGCGGTAATTGATTGGTGTTCTGTTTAAGGTGCTTTGGAATTCTGTAGATTGTGGGGGTCTTTTCTGATGGTTTCCACTGACCCTATAAAATGATTTACCTACTGCATTTGGAAACATCTAGAAGCTCTTATCAATCATGAAAAAGTTGAAGAACTCCCATTCTGAAAAGAAGAATAAAATTGAGCATCTGCAGCATCTCAGAAAGCAGTGTGATTTTAGGCCGGTTATGGTCACAGCAAGATCACTGTTATGAAATTTATTTTTATCTTCTGAGTTCTCAGGGGTATTTATGGCAGGCTTGGACAGAAGTCTTATTAAGGAAGATTCCTGTCTGGCCATCCATGCAATTTATTTTGAATGCTCTGGCTTGACTCTCCCTTGGGAGTTATCTTTAGTGTAGAGATTCTAGTACTATTTGATTTAATGATGTTTGGACATGGTGGGCTGCCTAATCAGTACCAGATAGAATACAAGGAAAATTTTCTTCCTTTTTCAGAGCTCACAGTTATGGCAGGGGATATGCCTCTGCTGGGTTCAAGTTTTGGCTTTGCTACTTGATAGCTACGTGACCTTGGCAAGTCAGTTGACATCTCTGAGCCTCAGTTCTCTTATCTTGTATAATAATAATAATAATGCCCATAGCATTGTTGTACAAGATGTAAAATAATAAACATAAAAGCATTTTTTTAAACTTTAAAACTACTGTACACAGGGGTGCCTGGGTGGCTCAGTTGGTTAAGCATCTAACTCTTTCGGCTCAGGTCATGATCTCGCGGTTCGTGATTTCAAGACCCGCATTGGTCTCTCTCCTGGCAGTGTGGAGCCTGCTTGGAATCCTCCTCTCTTTCCCTCTCTCTCTGCTCCTCCCCTACACTCTGTCTCTCAATAAATAAATAAGCTTTAAAAAATAAAAGTATCGTACACAAAGATAAATAACTCACTTTAAAAATGGACAAGTGATCTGAATAGACATTTCGTTAAAGAATACCTACAAATGGCCAATAACTACATGAAAAGACGCTCAACATCATTAGTCACCAAACCCACAAGGAGATACCACTTTGAATACCATAGATACCACCTATGAATAAAATAGCTATAATAAAAAAGCCAGATGAGAATAAGTGTTATTGAGGATGTGGAGAAATGGGGATCCTCATACATTGCTGGTGGGAATGTAAAATGGTACAGATTCTTGGTAGAACGGCCTGGAAGTTTCTTTTAGTTTAACACAGTTGCCACATGATTCAGCAATTTCATTTCTGGTTATATACCCCAAAGAAATAAAAGTACATGTCCACACACACACACAAAAAACCTGTACATGAATGTTCATGGGCATTATTCTTAATATCCAAAGGTGGAAACAGCTCAAATATCTAGCAGCAGATGAATAGATAAATAAAATGTGGTATATTCATAGAATAGAATATTACTTGGCAATCAAAACAAATGAAGTATTGGTATGTGCTATTACTTGGACGGACTTTGAAAGCGTGCTAAGTGGAAGAAGCCAGTCACAGCGAATCACATATTGTATGATTCAACTTAGATAAAATGCCCAGAGTAGACAAATCCGTAGGTACAGGAAGTAGGTTGGTGTTTGCCTATGGTTGAGGGGTTGGGGGCAAATGAAAAGTGACAACTCATGGATATGGGTTTTCCTCGTAAGGGTGATGAAAATATTCTAAAACTGATTTGTGTAATAGTTGTACAACTTTGTGACTATACTAACAACTATTGTAAGTTTCAAATGGGCGAAATGCGTCCTAGGTATGTGAGCTATAGCTGAATAAAGCTGTTATTATAAAAGTACCGCACTGTATAAGTCTATATTACCATTTGTTCTATTTTTATATTTGTCCTTTATCACAGCCATAATAGACTGGCATTCTCAGCTTTTGGCTCTAAGCTAGAGACAAAGTAGACTCTCCATTTCTTGTGAACTCTCATATCAGAAGGTTTTCTCAGGTACGGTAGCTCACAAAGGAATGCCACCAGCTTAGCTTTACTATAAGAAGTCCCAGGAACACCTGTTCCAGGTCAGCTTCTCACCTGGTTAGTCCACATCGATTATCATCGCATGGAATTGGTTCAATCAGGAGAAAATAGCATCAAGGTGAGTCCTTCCCGATTTTCCATTTCTCTAAAATAATTTACCATGGTTCCTGGGGAATCGATCTATTTTATGTTCAGCATTTTGCTCTTAGAAACTATTTTGTTTGTAGGCTTCTAATTGAAACCAAGTCATCCTCCCAAAAATCACAAAAAAACAACTCTGGCCCACAGCAATTTGTTCAGTAGATTTTAATACACTTTTATTTATCTTCTCTCAGTACATTGCATGGTCTGCAAGGATAAGAAGTTCCGTTTTATTTAATTTTGTATTCCGTGGGCTTGACATAGTCAGGGCTCAGCAAGTGGTTTACTGAATGATGAATCAATAAATGAAGCAGAAAACAAGGCGAGCAGAAATAGTGACATTTACCTGACACATGGGCCACAAAGACAGCCATGCCAATTTGGGTGAATATTGCTCAGGAAGTGATACTCTCGGGCTGAACATGGAGGGTTTTGTTATTCACGAGGTAGCTTTTCAGACCACGGAAAGTAGAAATTTGTAGTCAATTTGAACTTCACAGGCTTTGACAAAGGTGGGATTGTTGGAGCAATTTCTTAGTGAGTGAGTGAGCCTAACTGGCCCCCATCGAGGGCATTTAAAGTTAGTGTGCAAGCATCTACTTAGCTTCTCATCAGAGAAAGGGAGGGGAAATATTTACTTGTTGTATTCCAGAATCTTGGAGATTCCGGAAGGCCTTCAGGAGCATCCCCTGAGAAATGTCCATGACCTATACGGCCAAAAATAATATTGAAAGAATAGCTAATGGAGGGTAAATACAAAATTGGGATTGTGCTAGAACTGAGTGGATTAGGAGGAAACTATCTGGGCAGGTTGCTATGAGGCAGTGTGCTGGGGCCTCAGGAGAAGCCACCGGCACTTTGGGTCACTGTGGCACTTTGGGTCACTGCATTTACTTGGGCTCACCCAGCTGCGTCACACGCCCCGGGGCCATTGTCTGCTGTGTCAACTCCAATCCACCACCACCTGGCAAGTGTGAAACTTGGTCCACAGAAGACCACTGAAAAGGGTTAAATCCTAAAGGCACAAAAGGGCAATTTGTAAAGGAACTCAGTTCACAGGCGTTGACCCCTGCCTCTCTCCTCATTTTCACACCTCAGACTGCAGGATGATGTGTGAGGATTCCTTTCTCTTTAGTTTCCCTCCTCCAGAAAGAGTAAACCTTTATCTTTCATCGTGTATTACCTGGCCAGCTATTTACAGATAAGGCCGGTGTCTCCTTCCCGGATCTGCAGAGCAGACCCTGATAGGCTGATTCTTTCCTCACTGTACATACTCATGGATGGTAGGGAAATTGTATCATTTTCCGCTAACACATCTGAGTCCGATCGTACCTACTGATGTAGTAACTTATTTACCTTTTGGCATAATGAGGAATTTGAGTTTCCATTATAGTTTATTTTATTCCATTATAAATGCCTAAATTTTCCTGGGATATATGCTAAGCAGCCCAATTCTTTGATCATTCCTTTCTTATTTTATTCCATTTTATTCCATTAAAAATGCCTAAATTTTCCTGGGATATATGCTAAGCAGCCCAATTCTTTGATCATTCCTTTCTTATTCAAAGCTGCTTCTCTCTGAGCAGGGAAGCTCCAGGAACAAACTGGAAATCAGGACATGTTTGGATGGAAGAGAAACAGAGCGCAACCGCCCGTCTGCCTCATTCTCTGATGTAAGTGAAGATACCTCGGTTCCATTAGCTGAAGTGTCCATTAGCTAATCAAGAATTTAAGCTGAGTGTTCCAAAGAGTGGAAACATGAGGCACGGCTGGGGCAGGACCTGGTCACTCAACATATTTGTTATCTGCCTAAGCACTGGGAATACCAATAAGAGTGAGATGAATTTTTTGCCCTCAAGTCATTCATGATGTATTGGGAAAGACAGACAAAAATCAATGAGGGTGCCAGGTGCTATGAAAGAGGCAAGCCGTAAGCACTAATGGGGGCAGGGGCGGTCTGGAGGCACCTCACATTCCAGATCCCGGAGACCCAAGACTCAAAGCGGGGACAAAGGCAAATTCAAAAAGGGGCGCCCCCCCCCCCCCGCCACCATCTGGTGGTTCAGATGCAAATCAAACATCTTTAATTTAAACTTTAGCATTTGGAGATATGTCCTTGAGGCTCAAATGTAAAGAATATGTGCTCACAGATGAAGCTTTCCCTGCTGATTCAAAGGAAGCCAACTTGAGCCCCATGAAGCCTTTTGATGTGGGGAGTAATCACTGTTTGTTTTCTCTGTGACCACAGAGAATTCAAGCAAAGCCTTTTTCGGAGCAATAACAATAGCTATTCTTTTAAATACTCCCTGCATTTCCTATTCTGTTAGGTACTTGGCATATGATTTTTATAGAAATCCTGTAGAATAGTATTAGTTTACCTACTTGGCAGAAAAGAAAACAGAAATAGAGAGAGGTTAACTTAGTAATTTAGTTGCTCAGATAGTTTTGGAGCAAGGGTTTTAGTCCATGATGCACTGCCTCTAGAAATCCCTGCTTTTAGTTATATCAAACCTGCAAATTATAATCTTAATCTAATTTATCAGTGCCTGCAAATACTTCCTGAACAATGTCTCTAAAATGCTTTAAAATGCTTACTTTTAAGTTTTTAAAAAAAATTTTTAATGTTTATTTACTTGAGAGAGACAGAGAGAGAGAAGGGGAGGGGCAGAGAGAGAGAGGGAGACACAGCATGTGAAGCAGGCTCCAGGCTCTGAGCTGTCAGCACAGAAGTTGGACACTTCTGAGCCGAAGTTGGACACTTAGCCGACTGAGCCACCCAGGCGCCCCATTTTTTTTTTTTCAGGCAAAGGCATGTGACATTTCTGCCACTGACGTGAACCAAGAGAGGGCTTGTTATGTTAGAGCGATTGTCAAAATTGGATACATTCTTAGCGGTGACAGTCAGGGGGAGAAATTCTTCTGGAGACCACACTACAAATATTGTTTTGAATTTAGAGTCATCACCGTCCATTTTCTCTGCAGGGTGTGCAGGGGTTAGTGCACATTTCTTGGTTTCTGATGTTTTTCTGTAAGGTTCTGATTTAAAAGTTCATTTCCTTACACACCAGGAGCAGTGTTTGTAGGTCAAGCTCCCAAAGTGTGAAATACTTGAACTCTCTAGGAAATATCCTGGGCATATGATTTAACTTTTGGCTGACTAGGTCTTGACTGGGGACATTGGAAAATATGAAACAGGGAGAAGGGACCTCCAACCACTAGTGCAGGGACCTCATTTTGTATCTGGCCTGAATGGCATAATTAAGAATCTTAATAGCTTTTTGGCAGTCATCTTACTTCTTGATTACTGCATCCTCTCACTGCTTCTGCACGAAGCTGAATCCGGAGTGTATCTGCCTTCTCTGTTCCCATGCTCACGAGAGTAAACAGTCTGGATGAAAAGTCACACCACCTGCAGATCAGGGACACTGCAGACACTTGGTCTCCAGTCTCGGCTGGGTCCTCAGAAATTCTTGTCAGTGCTTATACTTGTTCAGAGTGTCCAGGTCCCTCAAAGATTCCCCACACTCACCGAAGTCCTTCTGACCCCCTTTAGTGCCCTCTTCTTCTGTCTCAGCAGATGACCTTGCTGCCCAGACACCGTGGACATTTAGGTCTCAGGTAAGCCCATCATCAGCCACCAGTTGAGTACCTAATGCTTCCTTCTATTGACACCCACGCATGTTCCCAAGATCTGTCTTCTGGTCTCAGAGAATGCCTCACTCCTTTCTCAAGTCTAAGTCCACTAGGACACGGACCTACGTCAACTGCCCCCAGGCCCCTCGGAACTCTATGGCATCTCATTCTTAGGTCATTGTCCCACTCTCCTGCCTCTCCAGCCTTGCCCTCCCCAAGGCTCCTAGAAAAACAAACTGGTCATTTCCTTTTCAGCTACCATCCAGGCTCTCTCTTCTTTGAGAATTCAAATGGTCAAGGGAGTGGGCTTAACCCCTAACTTTGCTTTCTTACTTCATACAGGTATCTGGCTTTTGTCCCCACCATTCCTTAACTTCTCTCACTATGGTCACCAAAAGCCCCTCATGGCCAAGATACAACTGACCTTTTTTGGTCCTCCTGGGTCTGTGTGTGGCACTTGGCTCAGTTGACCACTCCCTCTCTTTAAAAACACTCTGTGTATTTCCTTGGTTTCTCCAACCCTCTGCCCTTCTGGTTTTCTCCATTCCAGCCTGGTTGTGCTTCCCTCCATCTTTCATCACTTAAAAGTTCACTGAAGGTAGCATTTGGTGGTACAAGAGTGAGAGTTTCTGAATTAGATCGTCTCTTACCATGTGTGCTTCCATAGATTCTTAACCCCTCTGTATCCCAGTTTCCTCATCTTTTACAACGAAATTAACAACGTTTCACATTGTTATGAGGATTGACTCAGATAAATGCCTGTAAAGGACTTTGTATGGATTTTTCATTTCAAAAGGAAAATTTAATTGCTAAGAGCTAACACAATCATATCAAGAAGCATTTCAAATAAAATATTATACTTTCCAATCTGCAACAGCAGCTCATCCAGATTCCATCATGCTTTAGATTTTTCCAACTGTAAGTATCCTAAGAACTATTTGGACCACGAATTTGTTGTGACAGCGCCGGTTCAAATGTTTTACTTATAAAGAAACATTTAGCAGGATTTCTGAGCATCTAAGACTGTTATAAAATAACTGGATGTCTAGTTTGCGTGATTATCTGAAGCTTTTTTTTTCTTTTAAACAAAGCTGTTATTACTAAAAAGAAGATTCAAAACCACAAAAAATCTCGAAAGCCTTGTTTGGAATCACAAACAAATTTTGTTTAACTTGTTTTCATAATAAAAGCAAGCCATTATTAAATCTTTGAAAAAATAGGTACATTCAACCTTTCTTTCCCATAAATTAATATAATTTCCGGAGATTTACTGGCTCTTAAATACAAATATGGTTGATTTCAAACCTATGTGTGGAGCTCATCATAAAGCACCACCACTAAAATGCTCCTAAAAATTGAGATACATGAGTAACAGAAAAATCTGTTAGTTCTGACCTGGTATTTCTTCTATTTCTTATTTGACTGTTTTAGAAAATTAAAAACCTATATCAACATTTCAGATTTCTGATGCACATTTTTTCCCCAAATCTCAACTTCACTATCTGTGGTCAAAGTTTACAGATTCTCCTGAAGGTGCATTAACCATTTAGAATGTTAAGACATTGTTTAGCGAATTTTTTAAATTCCCTAAATTGCAAGCATTTTGGTTCTCTGGATTCTTTGATCTTGGAACATCACATCAATGGGATGAGGCCAAGCGTTCCATGTTTTAGAGGCTATGCCCATTTTGGCCTTACTAGGATGACCTATTATGTTGATTTGCTCGGGGCAGTCCTGGTTTTGGCAGTGAAAATCCCTTGTGCTGAGAAATTCCCTGGTCCCGGGGCAAACCAGACCAATCGGCCACCCTAGGCTCAGCCAAATCCTCCATGTGAACAGACCAAAATTTTCTCCTTGTTTCAAACAACAACAACAACAGCAGCAGCAACAGCAACAACAACAACAACGAAAACCACCACCACAAGACGAAACCAAAACAACCCCTCGTACTTTCAACTCACTGTCCCTAATTAGAAACTAAAGACATTGATTGCATGTTGCAAACAGCTCAGCCAGGTTTATTTATGTGCTTTATTTCGTGTTTCTTTTTCTTACAACCTGGAGCTGAATGTTATAAGTAAACATTCCCAGATCAAAGTGAAGCAAGTTGGGCCTACCGTTTTTGAGCATCAGATGTCTGAACAGGTTCTATGTCTGTATCAACAGCACTTTTGTCTTTAACATCCACTCAGCACTTAGAAATTGGACTTCTGATTAAAACTGTAAGCATCCTTGCATCTGGTGATCTAAGACCACCAGTCATTATGAGAGTAGGTCCAACTCCTGACTTTTTGTGGGAAGAGCATTCACATTTTTGTTGATTTCACTTACAGTTTACTGACCACTGGAAGGTGCGTCTTTTACTCCCCCTGGAGGAGACCAAAAACTGCCTCAGTTTCTAGGACATCCCACATGGAGGAGACCCAGTGAAAGCTGGCAGAAAGTGGCAGGGCCATGGAGTGACTCCCGCCCCCGCCCCCCCCCAGCCATCTCTGCTTCCCGGTGCAATTTAAGGTAGATGAATGGTTCACTCTGGGCTCCAGGCCAACAAACTGGCCCCAGGGGGAAATCATTCTCACACCCACGCTTGATGCACAGACACCCTGCAACTCTCCTTCCTGCCCAGCAGCCCCCCAGATGGAATCCTTATACTCGAGGAAGCAGTGGGTCTTTCATTGCCGTCTCTGGGCTACAAGAATCAAAGAGCAAAATGGATGTTTTCCTCTGAGACCTGGCACTGAACAGAAGGAAGGAAACGACTTCTCCAATTCAAGCATGTTTTAATCTCTGGAGAAGTGGGGACTGGGGAGGGGCAGAATTGGCTGAGGAATCAGTGGGAAAGTCATAAATTTTGTCTCTTATCCCGGTAACTAAGATTCTTCCTTTACAGTGCCGCCCACTCCTTCTTCTTTTTTCAAAGAGTTTGGATAATGAACAATCACTTTCTAAATTCTCAAGTTCAAAAATCTCTCAGTGGAGGAAAAACCGGGAGGTTTTGAGTAAATCTCCAAAGGCCGGACGGATCCTTTATAAACATGCT